AGGCCTCGGTCACTGAAGCGGCGCCCAACTCCTCTCCCACTTCCGCCTTCCACCGCCCGCACTCGGGCCGGGTCACGTGGCCGCGCGCGGTCACCTGACCCGGAAGAGGCTGGCCGGACGCGCAGGTGTGGACAACCTAGGCCGGGCCGGGAGGAGGCCTTCTTGTCCCGCGTACGTTTTAAAGGGGGAGCGTCTCCCGCTCGAGCTGTCAGATAAACCGAGGCCTCGGTAGTGCGAGTCGCTTTCTCCTCCCGCCGGCCCAGGAGGCGGGTCTAGTATAAGACCCGCTTTACAGGTGAGAGGAAGCCGTTCAATCGAGACATCAAATAATTGATGGCTTTGGCCGTGTGGTCCCGCCGGCCGGAGGAGCATCGTCCCGCGCGCGGACAGGTGGCGGCTTCCATTCCCGGCCGGGGCACTGTTAGGCCTGTGGGCTCATAGCCTCCGCGTTTTCCAGGCCTCGAAATGACCGCAGATCTTCACCGGCCTGCGGGCGATGCCTGCGCTTTTCCTAAAGGGCCTCACGCGTAAAAGTTGACATTATTTCCAAATGAGTCATTCTTTGACCTCCTACTTGTGTTGGAACCTGTTGTCAATGTAATCTATTTCAGGTGACCACAGTTTTCCTAACAGTGTGAGATTTCACTTTTTAAAAAAAAACAAAACAAAAAACAGGAACTTCAAAAAAGTCAAGTGTTTTCAGGGCTCCCGTCACCTCTCAAAGACCCTGTCCCCAGGCACCCTGTCCTACGACAGGCATTACTCTCAATTCCCTGCACGCCCCCACGGATGTATTTATTTTTTTAATTTTATTTGTTGATTTTGACAGAGAAATACCGATTGGTTGCCCCACTTACTTGCGCGTTCACTGGTGGTTTCTTACCTGTTCCCTGACCAGAGATTGAACTCGCAACCTTGGCGCACTGGGACGACGCTCAACCACCGGAGCCACCCGCCAGGGCTCCCCCTCCCCCTTGGACTTTTTCATACTTTGACGTCTTTGCCCCACTGGTCCTTCAACACCTGGCTCCAAGGCATAAAACTCTGGAGGTGCCCCTTGTCACTACCCAAAAGAGCACTTTGTTCACAGCTGTTATAGCTCCCGACTCATGGTGGTATAAATTAGCTGTCAATACATATTTGTTAAATAAATGAAAGTCCTTCTAAGGCTTTAGGGGGCTTGGAAGACGACTGTTGTAGGGAAACAGAAAAGAGATTAAAATACTATTAAAAATGATAAAAGCTACAAAGTGTCTCCTTTTACAGGCATACCTAATTGTATTGCACTTCGCTTTATTGCACTGAGGTGTCACATTTTCTACAAATTATTATTATTATTTTTATTTTTTTTGCATTTTCTACAAATTAAAGGCAAGACCCTCCACCAGCAAAAAGATGATGACACTTTATTATGATATTTTCTTTATTCCAGTGTTCTGGAACTGACCCGCAATATCTCCAAGGTTTGTCTATATATTAATAAGTATTCTTGCCCAGCCGGCGTGGCTCAGCTGTTGAGCATCTACCTATGATCCAGGTGATCCAGGTTTGATTCCCAGTCAGGGCACTGCCCGGGGTTGCAGGCTCAAGCCCCAGTGGGGGGCATGGGGGAGGCAGCCTATCATCATTGATGTTTCTATTTCTCTGTCTCCCTCTCCCTTCCTCTCTCTGAAATCAATAATGATATTTAAAAAAAAAAAAAAAAAGGATTCTTAATGTTTGCTTCAAGATAAAAAGGCTGAAAGCCCAATCATTCTTTTTCTGTTTCCCTAAAGGGTGGCTCTCAAGTGTGTTCTCCAGGTCAGCAGCTTTAGCATCACCTGGAATTTATTAGAAATGCACAATCTCAGGCTCTGCCCAGACATACTCCATCAAAAACTGAGGATGAGACCCACCAATCTGTTTGCAAGCTCTCCAGGCGATTCTGATGCACACCTACATTTGAGAACCACTGATCTAGATCATTCTCCTTCATCGTAGGGTTTACAGAATTATCGTTGCCAATTTCAATAAACCTCTTTTATTGTGGAGTCAAGTTCCACCCTCCCTTTTTAGGCAACAGTAGCAATCAATCAAAGAAGAAGAAATTAAGAGACTGGAATGAGTGGATCACATTTTCTAGGCTTGATGTAAGAACTTGATAGGAATAATAGGAATGAATGTAGAGGGGACCCAGGCACCACGAACATTTCAGAAGTGACATCAGTAAGGTTTAGCAAGGGGAGTATGGGTTGAGAGTGAGGGTGGCAATGAAGATGACTCAGAGGTTCTTCCCGTGAATGCCGCTGTTGGTAACGCCTTTAGTAAAAATTCAAACTCTCACTATTGAAGGAAGTTTACGCTAGGGTGTGAGAGAGAATTACTTTAGTCATAACCTTCTTCCTGAGTGAACATGCCAAAAATTTTCCCACGGGACATGCCCGGAAGGCTAAGCTGGGGAGTAGACAGGGATTAGACCTACTAAAGATTTGGGAGGTAGTCCTGCAATGGGATAGCTGAAGCCTTGAGGATCGATAGCATTGCTGAAGGAGAGAACTTAGAGAGCGAAAGGGGCCAAGACCGTTCTGTGGAGGGTGTCCTGTTTGCAAGGCAGAAAAAGAGAGTCCAGTGGGAGAGGGTGAGAAGCCATTAGGGAGGCAGGATTGTGAAGTATCACCAAAGTCGGGAAAGGAGAGACAGTCCAGAAAAAGGAGATGGTCAGCAACGTCAGAGTCTGCAGAGCAACTGAGAAGGCAAGAAGTAAAAACCCCAAAATTTGATATGATGAACTGGAAAATTTTTAAAAAGCCTTCCATCGGGCTATTTTCAGGCAGGGCAGGAACCAGTCGGTGTCTCTGGAGGTTGAAAAGGCTAAGTGGTTAAGAACAGTTGAGATAGATGTCTGGGGAAGGAAAAAGAATTTAAGCAATTGCTGAAGGGCACTGAAGGATTTCTGGAAGTGGGATGCATAAATTATAACTGAAGGGTAAGACTGGAGTGCAGACTTGACAAAGAAGGTTTGGAATACGCCAACATCGCTGAAGGCTGGTGTCTGAAAATTCAAGACACATTCAGCCCAAATTCCCCAGCATGAATTTGTCATGGGCCAGATCTCGACACGATAGACTGTCAGGCCTGAAAGGCAGTTCAGAAATCACCCCGCACCCCTCAGCTCGATTCAGCAGTGACTGACTTGCTAGCATGCAGTGTGCCTTGCTCAGGGAAGTGAGGCAAGGACGTTAAGGGAAATAAGACACAGACCCTTGGCCCTCAGTTATTCAAAATGAAGTGGGGGCACATAAGCAGCAGTCGCTATAGCACAGCGATTTTCAACGGGGGGGTGGGGGGAGGCTCAAGAATCTTTAAAACATGCGATACCTGACGATTTTGTCAGGGACACTGACCTCTTTTCCCTTAGACTGGCAAATAAAAAAATGACAGCAGCCAACACGACAATAGCCGTCTGGTGTGAATGAATCAGAATTATACCTTTTTTTGTCAGATGGGAAAAATATATATATATTTTGGTGCTGCAGAATTTGAGCATTAGCTCTGTGCCATGAGATGAAAAGGTTGACACTCGCTGCTCTAGCATGCTGGTTAAGAACGTGGCTCTGAGCTGGTCTGTCTGGGCATTGAGCTTGTTACCACCACTTCCTAGTCATGATAGCTGAGCTTGGTTGTCTTGAGTAGCTGTCCCTTGACTGTCAATCTTACAGGGTTGTGATCATTAAATTAGGTTATCTGTAATGACTCACTTTTAACAATTCGACTATGTACAGGTTTTACATTTAAAAATTTTTTTTTAAAATATATCTTTATTGATTTCAGAGAGAGGAAAGGAGTGGGGGAGAGAGAGAGATAGAAACATCAATGATGAGAGAGTCATTGATCGAGCCCACAACCCGGGAATCAACCCCTATCTCCTGGATCCTAGGTCGACGCTCAACCGCTGAGCCACGCCCGGCTGGGCCAGGCTTTACATTTAAAAGTTAAAAAAAAAAAAAGCGTTAAAAAAAAAGCCTGGATGCTGAAGCGTATTTCCTCAAGTATACCGCCCCCCTTTGCCTGGCCCCCCTCAAGGTTTGCCCCCGCCCATAACCCCTGGGTGGGCTGCGAGCCCACCGCGCATGCGCCCAGGTAGCTTGCGCCAGGGGATGTGGGGCCCCGGCCGCCAGGGGGCGCCGCTGCGTTGCGCCTGCTCTTCCCGGCTCCCAGAGCCCCCCAGCGGGACGCAGGGGCGGGCGCAGGCGCGCTCGGGGCTCGTGTGGCCAAGATGGCGCCCGTGGAGCACGTTGTGGCGGATGCCGGGGCTTTCCTGCGGGACGCGGCTCTGCAGGTACCGGGAGCCGGGGCGGAGAGGTCAGGGTCTGGGCTGGCGGCCCCGGCCGGAGCCGGAGCCGGAGCCGGAGCCGGAGCGCGGGCGCTCGGGTGCGTGAGATGAGCCGGGCCGGTCTGTCTGCAGGACATTGGGAAGAACATCTACACCATCCGGGATGTGGTCAGCGAGATTCGGGACAAGGCCACGCGCCGGCGACTCGCCGTCTTGCCCTACGAGCTGCGTTTCAAAGAGCCGTTGCCGGAGTACGTGCGGCTGGGTGAGTGCCTCTGCCCCGGTGTTGTGGGCGAAGCTGGTCCCCAGGGTGCAGGTGGGACCGGCTCGGGTGCGAGTCGGGGTCTGGCTACTTTATCAGCAGTTGAATTTAGAAACTTCAGGTTCTAAGGAGGTCGTGGTAGGAAAGAGGCTTCCTGAGTCAGGAGTCAGCCGGGCTCTGCCAGTTACCGGCTCTATACCCCCGGGGACGGCGCTCAGACTCCCCGGACTTGGGTGTCCCCGTCTGTAAAATGGGCGTAATGACAGCACCTGCCTCAGAGGTGGCTGGGAGCCTTGAGTGAGGACTTTGTCACTCAGCCTAGTGCCCAGCGCTTTGCAAGCTTCAGTACATTTGGATTAAAAAGATAACCCAGATTTCTTACTCTCGCCCATTCTTTTCAGTAGATCAGAGCGATGACTGTTTTGGTTATGGAGGCCCCGCCTCAAATCAGGAAAAAAGGGATGGCTTTTGGCTTTACGTTAGTCCTGAAAGAAAACTAAACAATGATGACTTGTCTTAGGAGTCAGCGTTGTTCTCTTAGGGATCAAGGTGACTGGAAGTGTTTTTAGGGGTTAGAGGCTGATGGTGGAGATGTTTCACGACACTGTTAGTTTGTGACTCCTGTAGCTTTTCTCCACCAACTTACTGTGAGATCTTTCACAAGTTACTTCATCTTTCTGAGGAAATACTAATACAGTTATACTTAATAGGATTCGATTGAAGGGTGAAATGAAAAGCTTTTAACACAGTGCCTGGTACATAGTAAGTGCCCAGGGAAATTGCTGCTGTTACTTAGTATCTGCTTTTTAGGAAGTGTGAGCAGTATAGTTATTGTTCCTTGTGACATTGTGGCACAAGACGTCCTTCTATTAATATGTCAGAAAATTTTATTGTACTGTGTGTGTTGTTGATGTCTCAGGAGAGTAGCAATAGTAACAGCTGGCATTTCTTATGGGGGATTGTGTGTTTAATACACAAAAAGTGCCCAATATTTGTTAACAAAGCAGCCAATAATGTTGTTTCATCATAGACTACGACAGCTATTGGTTGGATTAACTTTCCATCCCATTTTGGAACCTGGTCATCCATTGAAAAAGATGGGGGAATAGATGATAGTGTTAAGAGGTATTTCTTGGCATATTGATCCTAAGTTCTTTTCATACTTTCATTATAGTTATCTAAGGTCATATGACTTTTTGCCTTTAAATGAAGTTGAGAATCTTTTGTTTACAGTGACTGAGTTTTCAAAGAAAACTGGAGACTATCCCAGCCTGTCTGCCACAGACATCCAAGTACTGGCACTTACGTACCAGTTGGAAGCAGAGTTTGTTGGGGTGTCACACTTAAAACAAGAACCAGAAAAGGTAAGTTGGGAGGATTGTTGGTTTTATTTGTTTTAACTTTTTTATTTTGGAGAATATCAGATATACAAGAGTAGAGGGAATGGTATAATGGACCCAGGGTCCCTGCCATTCTGCCTCCATGGTTATCAAGTTATCATCTGTCTGCTTTCATCTCTACTGACCCTCAGCCCTTTTGAACTTAGGCATCATATTTCACTTGATAGATATTTCTTGGTGTCTCTCTTTTAAAAAGTAAACACAAAATCATTATTAGCCTTGGCCGGGGTTGCTCAGTTGGTTGGGTATCATGCCGTGCACTGCCTAGGTTGCAGGCTCAATCCTGCTAGGGGACGTGCAGGAGGCAGCTGATCAGTGATTCTCATCATTGATGTTTCTGTCTCTCCCTCTCCCTTCCTCTCTTTCTGAAATCAATAAAAATTTTATATTAAGAAAAGAAAAATGCAGAAAGAATAAAAATCAACAGCATTTTCACTTTTTTTTTTTTTTTTTTCCTAGAAAGAATTCTTTCCACAAGCAAGAACAATAAATGCTAGTTTTGGGGTTTTTTTTTAAACCTCTGATACCTTCACAATTCTGAGTTCCTGTTGTGCTTTTAGGGACTTGCCTACCTTGAGTAGGTTGAAGAGACTAATGGATCTATGCCTGGGCCCCATTGGCTGTTTGCAGGCCAAAGGATTTTGGAAGCCAAATAATTAACCTTATCATAATTAATTTCAAATAGTGTTGACAAAGAATTGCTTTATCTCCTCTGCCTTAAGTCATCAAAACCGTGGTGGACTCACATCCCATGACCAGGGATCGAACCCACAACCTTGGCATATTGGGGACAACGCTCTAACCAGCTAAGCTACCTGGCCAGGGTTCCAGTTTTTTTAAACATTGAATATCTTTTACTTCAATAACTGAGAGAAATATCATTTTCTCTTTTAATTACTCTTCCATTTTCTTTTTTTTTTTTTTAAAGGTTAAAGTGAGCTCATCGATTCAGCACCCCGAAACTCCTCTACACATTTCTGGTTTCCATCTGCCCTCAAAGGTAATTCCTTAGACAAGTCATGCTCGCCCTGCCCTTCCTGCTACAAGTCATATCTCCACAAATTGACTATTTACAGAGAACCAAATTTACCTGGACTAATGGTATAATTTGTCCCGCCCTGTCTGATCTAACTTGTAGGTCATATATATCATTTCATCTGTAACCCTCTCAATGTTCTAGTTTTAAAATTATTCTTTTAACCTCAGCCTAAACCCCCACGAGAAACAGTGGAACGTGAGCACCCAGCCGGTGAGCCCGAGGACCTAGAATTCAATTCCTTCATGTTCTGGAGAAGCCCTTTGCCTAATATTGATCGTGACTTGCAGGAGCTGCTGGTAAGGCCCTGACTGACCATCTCCTCTTGGTGACAAACTGCCGCTCCTGTGGGCTGGGAGTGTGCTGATTCTGTTGTGTTTCAGATTGACGGAGGAGAGGGTGTTCCAAGTGAGGAGGAGAAGGAAGAGAATGGGTTTGAAGAAAGAGAGGAAGGTAGTGATGACGAGGGGGGGTGGATAACCCCCAGCAACATCAAGCAGATCCGGCAGGATTTTGAACAGTGCACTGTCCCGAGGGACGTGCGTGTTGGCTGTGTGACTACAGACTTTGCCATGCAGGTGGGTGGAGTGGGCGTCAGTTAGTCCTGGGCTTTGTGTCATGCCCGTCATGGGCAGTGGTCCCTTGGAGGTTTGGGGGTTGGTACAGAGTCATTATGTAATGGTTCTAGAAACTGCCTCTGCTCTTTGGTATTTTTATAGTTTGCTTAGAGGCTAGGAAAATCATAATATGACGAAATTATATAGGATATTAAATTTTTTATGTTTGCTATTCATGATCTGCTGATGCTCTCCTTTCAGTGTGTCTAATGTCCTTTGCTCAGGTAAGTACTTGGAGAAAGTAAAGAGGGTTTCCAGCCCAGAAATGAGTATATTTGCTCTGACAAAATAAATGTCTCTGTTAAGAGATTCCTAATGAGCACAGGCCCCAGCTCTTGAGGTACATCCTGGGTCCTTGTCCTAGTTTGCATGTCTTGAGAAGCATCCTAAGCTTACTTTTCCTCAGCAGAAGCCCTTTAGGAGCCCAAGCAGGGTTTGTGAAGTTCCTTTACCTATAATTATACAGATGTTAAAAGAAAATTGAATCGTGCTCTGAGCTCAGCTCTGCTTTAACTTGTTGGCTGCAGAATGTTCTGCTTCAGATGGGGCTGCATGTGCTGGCGGTGAACGGCATGCTGATCCGAGAGGCCCGGAGCCACATCCTGCGCTGCCACGGCTGTTTCAGGTAAGTTCCTGATAATCGGACCCAGTGCCCTCTGCTGAACACGCTGCCCTCTTCCTCTCTCTCCTACAAACTTCCCAGAGAGCCTTGCCTTGTATACCTCACTCACATGTATTCCTCATCCCACCTGAAACCCCTGGGACAGAGGTGGCATAGGGTTTAGGGTGTGGGTTCTGGAGCAAAGAACCCTCTTCATTGGGTGATAAGTACTGAAATGTTTATGGATGGAATGATATCAGGGATTTGCTTTGAAATAATACACAATGGGAGGTCCACCATTGGGACTTTAGTGGATAGGAAAGAGGCAAGGCCTTGGGGTCTGTCCTAAACACACGCACCCATTCAATCATAGCAGCTTTATGGTGTTTCCTCTATAATTTGTTAATAAATTCTTGGCACCTCCAGAACCACTTCCTGGCTTAAAGCCCAGGCTCATATTTGGGGACACAGTATTTAGAACTGTAATAATATGCTCCTTGAGAAAATACAGTGATGTTAAGAGCATTGATCCTGGACCCAGATTCCCTGGATTTATATCTGCCCTTAAGAGCTACATCACCGTGAACAAGCTGCCTTACCTTGCCTCAATTTCCCCATCTGTAAATTGAGGATAGTAGCTACTATATAGGACTGTTTTGATGTGAAACTTGTAGATTAATGCCTGACAAGGGTTCATTGTTAATGTAACAATATGCTAATTATCATTGTGTCATTTCCCTTTGTGTCTGAGAAATACAGCTGCAGTTTGCTTATATCGTTGGCATGAGGCCGGTGGCCTTGGTCTGTGACGTGAAGTGTGGTTTAGACTTTCTCCATTTCTTGTCGTGCCCTCCTCCTCTGAGTCCTGTGGCTCATCTTGTGCTCTGGGGACAGGGTTTGCTGCCTGTGGCTCCAGTACAGTGCATTCTTTTACGTCTCCAGGACAACCTCTGACATGAGCCGAGTGTTCTGTGCACATTGTGGAAACAAGACCCTGAAGAAAGTGTCTGTGACTGTCAGTGACGACGGAACCCTGCAGATGCACTTTTCCCGCAACCCCAAGGTGCTGAATCCTCGGGGCCTCCGGGTGAGTGGCTTGTCTCACTCTTCCAGCAGCAGGGCCTAAGGCTGGGAAGGCGAGGCCTCAGCACCAGCATCGAAACAAACAAAGGACAAAAAATGTTTGTGGTTTCTACAAGGTAGCTCCTGAAAGCTTGCAATTTAGGTATCAAGACAGGTGGGGGCCAGTATGTAACAGAGCCTCCACGTGAGACTTCGGAGGAGTTTGCGGTGTAATGAGAAATAACCAGTAATTCCAGGCAGTAAATGTAAGGGCCAGGTGCGTGTGGGGTCACAAAGAGGGAGGCCATTTACAGCGTGGTGGGTAGATTTGGGCAGGTAGTTGAGGATGGGCACAATTTCCAGAAGCGTGGGGAACCAGAGAGGAAGAGACCTGGGCTGGATACGCAGCCGCGTGTGTTTTGAGGAATCCTGAGAGAAGGCTTGAGAGACAAAGGACTATGAGAGTAGCCAACCTGGCATGAGTTCTCCAAGTATGGCCACTGTCTAATGCATGAGAATTTTACTTTCTATTTTGAAATAATTTTAGAGTTATAGAAAAGTTGCAAAAATAGTACAAATAATTCTCATCTATCCTTCACTTAGATTTCCGTATGTTAATCTTCTACCACATTTGTTCTATCGTTTTATACACTAGTCCCCCCCTTATCCACGGTTTTGCTTACTGTAGATTCAGTTACCCGTGGTCCACTGTAGTCTGAAAATATTGAACGGAAACTCCAGAAATAAACAGTTCATAAATTGTGCACCATCCTGAGTAGCATGATGAAATTTCACGCTATATACGCTCCCCGCCTGTTGGTCACTTAGCCGGTTCAGTTATCAGATCAGCTGTCACATTACCGCAGTGCTTGTGTTCAAGTAACCCTTATGGTGGCCTAACGCTACCTCACAATGCCTGTGTCATTCACCTCGGTTCGTCTCATCACGAAGGCACTGCACCATCTCACACCGTCACAAGATGGGTAAGCACAGTGCGATAAGGTATTGAGAGAGAGACCACATGCACGTAACTCTTATTACAGTGTGTTATAATTGTCCTATATTGTTAGTTATTGTTAATCTCTAATTTATAAATTAAACTTTATCATAGATGTGGATGTACAGGGAAAAACATAGTATATATATGGTTTGGTATTGTCCGCAGTTTCAGCCATCTACTAGGGGTCTTGGAACATATTCCTTGTGGATAAGGGGGGACTACTGTGTGTGTGTGTGTTGGTTTTTTCCCCTAAACCATCTGAGAGTGCATTATATATGATGATCCTTTGCCCCTAGATACTTGAGTATTTCCTGAAACAAGGGCATTGTCTTACATAACCACAATATAATTATCAAAATTAAGAAGTTAACGTTACTAAAATACCACTGTCTCTATGGACCATATTTAAACTTTACCATAAATTTCCCTTATAGCAAAAGAAGGTGTGGTTCATTTTGGTCCAGGATCTAGTCTAGGATCACACATTACATTTAGTTGTCATGTCTCTTTAGTCTCTTTTAGACTGAAGTGGTTTCTCTAGTCTTTGGTCTATCATGACCTTGACATTTTTAAGAGTATAGGCAAGTTACTTTGTAGAATGTCCCTTCCCTTGGGTTTGTCTAGTATTTCCTCATGGTTAGATGTAGGCTGTGCATTTTTGACAGAAATACCAAAAGTGATGTGTGCTTTTCAGCACCTTGTGTCAGGAGATAAATGATAATCAGTTGTCTAATTTACTGGTGATAGTAACTTTGTTTCCTTGGTTAGGGGGTTTCTTATGTAACCACAATATTATCAAAACCAAGAAGTTAACATTGCAATACTAATACTGTCTAATCAATGGATCATATTCAAACTTTGCCACAAATTTCCTGTAAAGTTATTCTTTGCAATAAGTAACTTATGGAAAGATATTCCAATACTGTGTAAATGCTGTTTCTCCTCAAACTTTAACTCGTGGTTAGTTACCTGAAACAGTTTTTACAGTGATGGTTGCCAGATGGTGATTTTCTAATTCTATCACTTTCCACATTCTTTACCTGGCATTCTGCTGTAACAAGGAACTTCCCCTCTTAATGTGTTCGTTTATATGTATGTGGTCTGTGGACTTTTATTTTCGTCTGTAGGCTGTGATCCGTCACCATCATTTATTTAGATGCTCAGACTTTATGGAGGCCCTTCAAGCTGGCTTCTGTGTCCTTCTGACGTGTCCCAATTATTTGAACACTTTCTTGCTTTCTGGCACAGCAAGATGTCCCAACTCTTACACTGCCTCAGCCCTAGAATCGGCCATTTTTCTGAGCAGCTCTTGGTCTTTATGGAGAATGGATTTTCAAAGCAAACATCTGGGCACTGGGTGTGTTCATTGTCCTAGGATGTCATTGATTCTCAGCCCACGGTGGACAAAAATGGTGACTATGTACATGTGTGTATATATACACACGTATTAAAAGTTGAATTTATAACTTCGATTTCAGCTCTACCACCAGAGTTCATTCTACCCCCCACTCGTCATATTCAGGACATCTTATTAACACCATTTTCCCTAATTAACTATTTGCTCAACACTAGAATATATGTAATTGCTTCAGAACTGCTAACATAGACCATTGTGGAAATGGCACTTGCTTACTCGAGTTCTGCCTGTATACCTAATTTTTCTGCCTTTAGCTGAGGGTATATAGTGGAAGTGCTGTGTTGGGTTTTTTCACCTGAGGGCTGAGGTGAGGGTCAAGAGGGAAGATGCGTGTCAGGTGCTCAGTGCGTAGCAGGCGGTGAACGATAACTCCACTGGTGTCACCCACCTGCATCCAGAGCGGTCAGTAAGCTTGACGTTCACAGGGTCTGACTCATGTGAATGTGGGTCGCCGTCCTTCTAACGGCCTTTCTTTGTCTTATTTGCAGTATTCGCTTCCCGCTCCCAAAGGGGGCAAATACGCCGTCAACCCTCATCTGACTGAGGACCAGCGCTTCCCTCAGCTGCGACTCTCCCGCAAGGCCCGGCAGAAGACGGATGTGTTCGCCCCAGACTACGTAGCTGGGGTATCTCCCTTTGCAGAGAACGACATCTCCAGCCGGTCAGCTACCCTGCAGATCCGAGACAGCACTTTGGGAGCCGGGAGGAGACGGTTAAATCCCAATGCTTCCAGAAAGAAGTTTGTGAAGAAGAGGTGAGGCGCAAGTGCCACAGGCAGACGACGCTGCTGCAGCTGCCGTGTTCTGGAGTCTCGTTTCCCTGGCTCTGCCGGCTCCAGAACCATCTGGATGGAGAGAACAGGCCCAGCTTCTGTGTGCTGCTTCCTGAGGCCTGTGGAGGGGTGGGTTGGGTTTGTGGTTGAACTTGGTCATGCCCTGGCCTGAGAGCACCCATAGAGCTGGGATTCCTGCCACGTTGAGGGGAATTTGATGAGAACAGAAAGAACAGTGCCCCGGAGCAAGTCTTCAACCTCAAAAGAAGGGAACTTTCAAGAGAGAATATTTTTCTAATAAATGTGGTTGTAAGCTTCTGTGCATTTTCATTAAATAGGTCAAATTTTTCTTCTTAAGTAATTTGAAGGCTAACACTTAAGGGCTTATACACCAAGATCAAGCATTTAGATTTATATTTTTTTCGAGAAAGTATACTAAGTTTGTTACAATAAAACTAAGCTCTGCCACTTTCTGTCATTCAGGAAGTTCAGTGCTGGGGCCTTTCTCCCAAGATGCACCCATTGTTCACATTTCTTCTCATTTGCTTTTTACCTTCCCATACAACTACACAAAATATCTCCTTGGAAAGGGCTGTTCTTCTATGTAACCACAGTACAATGATCAAATTCAGGAAACCGGACACATTACTTTTGTCTAATGTGTAACAATTCACGTTTTACTAAACTGTCCCAATACTGTCCTAGCATTTCCCCTCAATTCTAAAGTTGCTCAGCCTTTTTCTTGTGAAATTGACATGTTTAAATAGGACAGGCCAGGTTTTTAAAATATCCCTCCATTTGGATTTGACAGACTGTTTCCTCAATGGGATTGAGATTTTCACTTGGGCAGGAACGCGGCCTGAGTGGTAATTAGGTCCTCAGTGCATTGCACTAAGTGATGGTAACTCTTGACAACTTGGTAAGTGAACCTGCTGAGTGGAAATGTTGAACATATCAACATAACTGTGTGTGTGTTTATGTATTTGGAGGTAAATTCTCAATGAAACCCCTTTGTGTGATTAATACAATGATGAGACTGTAATTCTGTGACCCGAGGTCAAGAGGAAGGGTGGTGCATATTTACTAACAGCTGCTTAGATCTCTTCAAACGCTGAGAATTGACTGATGTTTAAGAAATGCTTGTGGATTAAAAAAAAGAAAGGACACTTGTGGAATTGAATGTATGACTCAGACCAGTTTGGAGAAAATAGTCAAGCAGCAAAAAATGTTTCTTCCTTACTTTTAGTCTGCTCTTGGAAATAACAAATGAGTTCCCCCTCCCTGAAGGTGTTCGTGCAAAAGCTGAAGAGTTACTAGTGGGATGAACAGGATCGATGAAGCATTGAAGAGGGGGCCCTTCTGTTCCTTAAACTCTATGGTCTGACACCAAGACTCGATTTGCTCTATCAGATAAAATCGCTTCACAACAAAGGCGTGCCATTTCAGTGTGACCATAATGGGTTAAGCCCAATAGAGAACGACCTACTTGACACAACATATAACATGACAAAATTCCAGTAGAACACACAGGAAGTCCAACATACGGTGTGCTTTGTGCAACAGTGACTGGTGGTGAGACAAGGGCAGGACAGGATGGGGCTTACAGTAGAAGAAGCATTTCTCCCCTAGTCCCAAGGACCTGTTCCCTCCAGGGATACTTGACTGGTAGCCACAGGAACCACAGAGGACAACAGGTGCCCAGGTCCCCAGACAGACCCGACTGTGGCTCTGAGCTATTGTGATCCTGTCATCCACAGCCCAGAAAAGCAAGAGAGCTTTGGGGACTTATTGTGCAAAAAAGCAACCAGACATGTGGGCGCAGTACCTTAGCAGGTCACTAATGGGGATGTTTATGATCTTTCAGTGGGAGTGGGGGATGGGGGGGCTCCTGAGGATTCTCCTACCCCTGCTTTTTGTTTCTAGATCATGAAGGCTATCAGCAGAACTTGCTATAGCCCCATGATGCTAGCCTGCTTCCCGGGGACTCGGGAGGCCCTGAGGACAGTTTTCAGTTGACACACAATGACTGGGCCATACATACTCCTGGGACAGGCCTGCTCAGATAAGACCAAGGAAATTGGGCAGTCTTAAAATTCACAGCAAATTAAAGCTGAAGGAACCTTTAAGACAATGCAGCCCAAACCCAGAGTTTTAAAGATTAGGTGACCAAGGTTCAGAAGAGCACTAGCAGTTGACCCAGAGTTAGACTCAAGAATTCTGATAGCAAGTAACGGCTGGGAGTTGGCTCTGGAGTCCAAGGGCCCAAGTTCAAATTCTAACTTGCTGTATAGCCAGCCATGGACAAGTCACATAACTACTTGGATCAAAAACCTGAATATAAGAGCTAAAACTATAAAACTCGTAAAAGTAACCACAGATATAAATCTTCATGGCCTTGGATTAGGCAATGATTCTTAGCTATGACACCAAAAACACAAGCAATAAAAAAGTTTGGTAAATTAAGACTTCATAAAAATTTGAAACATGAATCCAAAGGCACCACTGAGATAGTGAAAAGACAACCCAAAGAATGCGAGAAGATATTTGCAAATCTGTCTACCTGATAAGGAACTTCTATGAAGAACCCTTACAACTCAATGATAAAACAACAATCCAATTTTAAAATGTGCAAAGGATCTGAATAAACATTTCTCCAAAGAAATATATAAATGGCCAACAATTACATGAAAAGATGTTCGGCATCGCTAGTCATGAAGGAAATACAACTCAAAACCACAATGAGATACCACTTTGCACACATGGCATGGTCACAATAAGACGGACAATAACGTGTTGGTGAGGAGAAACTAAAACCTTTGGTACATTGCTGGTAGAAATGTAAAATGGTGCAGCTTCCTAGGAAAACAGTTTGGCAGTTTCTCAAATGTTAAACATAGAGTCACCAGCAATTCTACTTCCAGATATCTACCCAAGAGAAATATATAGCTATGTCCACAGAAAAACTTGTATACAAATGTTATAGTAGCACTATTCATAGCAGCAAAAAGTGGAAACAACCCAGTCATCAACTGGTAAGTGGATAAACAAAATGTGGCATATCCATACAATGGAATATTATTCAGTCATAAAAAGGTACAAAGTACTGATACATGCTACAACATGGATGAACCTTAAAACATAATGCTAAATGAAAGAAGACAATCTCAAAAGACCACATAAAGTATGATACCATTCAAATGAGATGTCCAGAATGGGTAAACCCACAGAGACAGAAAGTGGAGTAGTGGTTGCCTTAAAACCAAAGGGTGGAGACGGGGTGGGGACAGGCAGGAAGAAGAGTGATTGCTAATAGGTACCAGGTTTCTTTTGGGGGGATGAAAATATTCTAAAATTAGATGCTAGTGATCATTGTGAAATGCTACACATATGCTAAAAGCCACTGTATTGTCCATTTTATTATTTATTTTTATTGACTGATTTTGGAGAGAGAAACATTGATTTGTTGTTCCACTTATTTATGCATTCATTGGTTGTTTCTTGTATGTGCCCTGACCGGGGATCAAACGCGCAACCTTGGTGCTGTGATACACAAAATGAGTAAGAAAACAACTGGATTTGCCCTTCCTCTCTCTCTAAAAATAAACAAACTGTCCTTTTTTAAAAAAAGTATACATATCACAGAAATAACCAAAGTTCCTTGTCAATTCCATTATAATGAACTCTCATCAGATCTTTAACCACAGGTATTGTAAGTCTTTTGTCATTTATAGACAGTTATTACTCTGATGCTTTTGCAAAAGTGAGATTCGTGGAACGGACCCTCCCAGGTACTCCTGACCACCGACACCACTGTCAAATGACAAGGTGTCCAATGATGGCTGCATATTTCACAACTGAAGGTGGCCCCACCTGGCCTCTGGTTCTGTGCAAACACTGGAGACCTCAAAATCCGATGGACTAGAAAGAGAAGCAGCTGATATCAAAGTAGACTGCTTCTTCCCAAGGTGCCAGATCAAAAATGTTTCTTTCCACGCCTCCTTCCCTCTTTTCTAAATTCTTAGATCATGAAGGTCTACATGATGCTTTCTGGTTTTGGTCCACTCTTTTGCCTCACTCTGGCCTGGAAAGGTAATTCTACTGTTCATGTGTCTCAGGCCATTGCAAAGTGGGGTAATCCAACCTCCAAACATCTGCTGGGTTTGCCTTAATGCTGCTAATGATCCTATAGTTCTGCCCGTCACAAAATTCTCCCTGATTTCCAATGCCTCCGTTTCTCTGGAACAGTCTCAGCCCCCCCTCTATCATGTCATAGTCCCTAGCTCAGGAGTCCATTCCCCTCCCGACTCTGATTAGCAACCCCAAATCCAGGGAACCTGCATCCAGGCTCTGTACATGGAAAGGGACACCAGGCCAGGGTAACCAGAATGAAACCGTGTGTGGTCTACAAACCCTTACATTTTACTGGCTGTCCACCTCTCCAGTCCCGAGTCACAGACTCAAATGGGAATTACCAGGAGACATTCATGATTCAAAAGTCACTTCCTTTGGCAGGTCCCTGGCTAAGAGTAAGTGCAAATGAGGCTATGATCAGGAGCCTGTCCTTCACTCTTGAAAATACTGCAGTCAACTGTAACTGGAAAATTAAAATAGGATTTAAAAAATAACTAAAAAATAAAGAAAATATTGCAGAATCTGCTGCTTAAAGCAATAGCTGCCCCACAAAATCCCTAGAGACTCTGGCCAAAGTTGTTCTTGATACTAAGAGAGCCCCCCTCATTATCGGTTAGCTGAGCAAGGAGGTGTTCGTGCCACGGCCAACATCACTTGCGGCACTGGGACTGGCACTTCAGGGCAGGTTGGGACTGAACTACAGACGATCACTGTATCAGCCAGTGACTGCTTCAATGAGTCTCTGACTTAATTCTGATTGCTCTGGGCCTTGAAAACCATAGCTCCGAAGTGCACTCCAGACATTGAGAATTAATTACCCTACTTGTAATAATCATAGTATTTCCTTGGTGTGCTGAATTCTCTCAAAAGTTTTAAATGGCCCTGAACGGTGTGACTCAGTGGTTAGAGTGTCGGCCCACGGACTGAAGACTTCAGGCTCCATCCCGGCCCAGCTGCAGCACATGGGGGAGGCAACCAGTTGATGTCTCTCTCTCTTCTCTCTCTCTCTCTCTCTCTTATTGATCTCTCTCTCTCCCTCTCCTTCTCTCTCTCTCTCTCTCTCCCCCTTCCACTTTCTCTGAAAAACAATGGAAAAAATATCTTCGGATGAGAATTTTTTAAAAAATCAGTTTTAAATGTGTAATTGTAGCCACTAACCACCAAGCAAATGATTTTCCTAAGACTAGAACGTCAGAAAAGAATCAAAGAGAATGACTTAGAGAATGTGAGCCCAGTGTTGTAACCTGTAAAGCCTTCAATGTTTGATCACATCTCTCAGGCTGAGTCTGATCAAAGGGTGGATTTGTTAAAAATAAGACAACAGGCCCAAACTAGAACTGCCTATGTTAAGCCTCACATCACCAAATCCAGACTTGAGGACAGAAATGGACTATTTAAGCTCCTAAACCAGTTAATCAAGAAGTGCCTGATTGCCCGGTGGGCATGGTTCAGCGATTGAGAACATGCAATTTTAATTACGAAGTCCTACTTAGGGCAACTAAACAGAAGAGAGTAAAAGTTAAATCTCTGCAAAGTAAATCTCCTAGGATCCAGGAGGTCGGGGTTTGATTGCCCGGGTTGTGGGCTCGAACCCCAGTCGGGGGCGTGCAGGAGGCAGTCAACCGATGACTCTCTCATCATTGATGTTTCTATCTCTCTCCCTGTCCCTTCCTCTCTCTGAAATCAATAAAGATATATATATATTTTAAAAGTGCCTGATCATACTAGTTACGTAACCTGCCTGGTAGCCTCCCACCATGAGCTAAAGGAAGGTAACTGCAATAACCAGCACTTCTGCCAACTAGAACTTCCTTGTTCCCGCTCCCTCTGCCTGTAAAGGTCTGATTTTGTACAGCTCCCGTGAACAACTTTCTATCTGCCTGCCGGCCTGGATGCTGCCTGATTCATGAATTGCTGTGTAAAGCCAATAAAATCTTTAAAATTTACTCAGTTGGGTTTTGTTAACAAAATAATCAGAATTAACTGACTTCTCCCGCTGCTGTGGTGTCAACATGACTTGGCACAGTTGATACTGACGCATTTCTCCCGTAACAGTATTACCCAATCCTGTCTTTTTTAACATGTGTCTATTTTGTCCAGCATGACTTTTTCCAGCAAACTGATTGTTAAAAACATTGCATTGAGCCCAGCGGGGTGTGGCTCAGCGGTTGAGCGTTGACCTAGGATCCAGGTGATCGGGGTTCGATTCCCGGTCAGGGCACATGCCCGGGTTGTGGGCTCGATCAATGACTCTCATCATTGATGTTTCTGTCTCTCTCTCTCCTTTCCTCTCTCTGAAATCAATAAAGATATTTAAAAAAAAAAATTTAAAAATTAAAAAAATAAAAACACTGCAGTGAAGAGTTACTTATCTTGACTCCTGAGTTTTCGGACACGCTCCCTTACATTCTGCCCCCCGGGTACCTGACCCTCAGGCCCTGGGCACTCCCCACCTCCCTTCCCCTGAAATGTCTTATCATTGGTAACTTTCCTGATGGCATCACTTTAAGGTTCGCTTTCTTTTTCCTTCCCCTTTGACAGATCTCCTCTCTGTTCTGTAGGACGAAGGCTTTGCCACCACTTTTACTTTGCGGAGATGTAACTTTCACTCGGTTCTGTCCGGGCGCCCTGAGCGGGGCTGTGCAAAGCCACTAAAACCGCACGTCCCGGCCTCGCCTTTGGGTGCTTCTGTCCCTGCTGCCTCCCCGACCGGCCCT